ACAACATGTTCATTACAATCTGTATCGCTCTGATGTGTAAATAATGCACACTAATATCAGTGCAGGTACATCTACAGCAGTACAGCAACATCTTTACATCAAACTAATGATTGATGTAGAGGGCTTGTGCATTAGAGAACATGATCAACAGAGGCTGAAAGAGAGAATGAGAGAAGACAAGGAAGAACGAACAACTGTATTATGGTGAAATTTAATCACACCAACTCCTCTGACAGCATGCCGATAAGACTGTGATCTCACCCGCTCTCCATTACAGAGAGAGAGAGAGAGAGAGAGAGAGAGTGAGAGAGAGAGCAGAGAGAGAGAGAGAGAGAGAGAGAGAGAGAGAGAGAGAGAGTGAGAGAGTGAGAGAGAGAGAGAGAGAGAGAGAGAGAGAGAGAGAGAGAGAGAGTGAGAGAGAGAGTGAGAGAGAGAGAGAGAGAGAGAGAGAGAGAGAGAGAGAGAGAGAGTGAGAGAGAGAGAGCGAGAGAGCGAGAGAGAGAGAGAGAGAGAGAGAGAGACGTAGCAACCACTCTGCATCCCAGAATACTGGCAGAAGTAGACCATGACAACTCAGCAGCGATGTGACAGAAGCAGGCGATGGAAAAACACAACTTTATATAGAAAACTATAAATACTCCACCCTAACGCTGAGCAAAGTTCAGTGCGGTGGAGAAATGTGCATCTCAAACTCTCCTCTGATGCGTCTCTCTCAACAGATTACATATCTCTGGTAATAACATTACAATGAGATGAGAAAGAAGAACAGAAAACCTGTTCATGAAAAGTTTGGTGTATAGAATGGGTCTGGATGGATTGGATGATGGATGGATGGATGGATGGATGGATGGATGGATGGAGGGAGGGATGGATGGATGGATGGATGGATGGATGGATGGATGGATGGATGGATGAAGGGTCTGGTTGGATGGATGGATGGATGGATGGATGGATGGATGGATGGATGGATGGATGGATGGATGGATGGATGGATGGATGGATGGATGGATGGATGGATGAAGGGTCTGTTTGGATGGATGGATGGAGGGTCTGGATGGATGGATGGATGGATGGATGGATGGATGGATGGATGGAGGGTCTGGTTGGATGGATGGATGGAGGGTCTGGATGGATGGATGGACGGATGGATGGATGGATGGATGGATGGATGGATGGATGGATGGATGGATGGAGGGTCTGGTTGGATGGATGGATGGATGGATGGATGGATGGATGGATGGATAGATGGATGGATGGATGGAGGGTCTGGATGGATGGATGATGGATGGAGGGTCTGGAAAAATCTGAGGTATATTTTTACAGAATATAAAAAATTCTGCCGAAAGCTACAGAACAGAGAAGCAAATGATCACTGCAATTCACAGAAACATATGGATCCAGGCAGAGAAAGCTGGATTTACAGTTATTATTTTATGTCAATATGCTGAATTTAGGGGTAAAATCATAACCTATATATTGTATTGTTATATATTTTATTGACAACTCATAAATTAAATATTTACCATCGTATATTCTTCATAATTGGATGTTTTTCAATAAACACTGACAAAAAACTATAAAAGTTTTAGGGCTGGACGATATGTAAGCAATAAGGTACGAGAGGCTGTGCTGTATCGTGAATAAGTAACGGCTGGAGGGCGTTGTTAGGCACGACGCGAAGCGGAGTGCCTGCAACCCCTTCAGCCGTTACTTATTCACGATACAGCACTTGCCTCGAGTACCTTATTGCTTTTATAAAACGGTTGCCACACAATAAAAATATTAAAGCCGAAAAATATGTATCTATGCAACTTTCATGAAGTAAAATCACTAAAAGCCTGCCTTCCGCTGGAAAAAATAGTCCCGGAACGTGAACAGCAACAGAAGTTACATATATTATTTCGCCAATAGATGGCGGCAAAGACTGTCTTTATGAGTGAGTGAGTGAGTGAGTCTGTAGAGAAGGCTTTTGAAAGGACTCGAACTTGTGATCACGGAGAAGACAGACGCAACTGACAGATGACTAACGTTATGCACGGAAAACCCCATGACTGTTAAAAGGACAAAATATGCAGCGGACATTCAAACGCATTTTTTTATTATGAATATAGGACTGACCTGAAGGAAAATGCTACGTCTACTGTAAATGCAGGTACACTCGCTTACTCGATCTCTCACAATGCTCTGCTCTAGCTTTAAATGAAAAATATCAATGAGATGAAACATCTGTTTAAGTTGCTAAGAGTGGTTGCTAGGGGTGTTGTGTAGTGATACATAGAACCGTTGGGTGAAGCGGTCATAGCCGTGTTTTATCGTGAATAAAGCACAGCTATTGACCAATCAGAATCAAGGATTGGAACTAACCGTTTTATAAGATGATATATAGGCTAAAACATTGATATGAGTGATCACATGGATTTAGACCTATATTGTATTTATATAAAGCGTTCACAGGCAAATTTGCTTTATGTTTTTCCCCGGCGTGGAAATCAGGCTCATATAAATGTCAGGAAACACGATTTCTGCCGCATGTGGATATCCACGATCACTGGATCTCTGGTCAGTTATAAGGAACACTATATCGAGTCCAAGCTTTAGTTTAAACTGATAATCCTTTGTTTTACTGGCGTTTTCTCAGTTTCCTCTATTAAACCCAGTCACTCCGCAGCTCTTCTGCCACTCGGTCCGGCTGAGGGAGTGTGTTCCCGTGGGAAAGTGACGTCAATGCATATCCTCTATTCAAGTCAAGTCACCTTTATTTAAAAAGTGGCATATCAGCTGTGGGACGCATGCATGGGCGTTTTATTTTTGGGTTATTGTTTTGTTGCAGCTTATGTTCTCATCTGACATCTCATATAATCCACTGAACACTGGAGAGAAAACACTTGTTCAGTTTTTAATATTCGGTTGAGGAATCACAACGAGAAGCACACGGTGTTCTTGTGAAACATCAAGGCTAGGAAAACAGATCCAAGCCATCTGGAGAAAAACACTGAAGGAGAAACACTGGCAACTTATGGTCAGTGCAATGACAACGCACACTGAAAAACACTCACTCGCACTCTTCAAAACCGCCACAGCACTTCTCAAACGCTTGCGATGGGTTTTGATAGAGAAGGTAATGTATTATTTAAAGAGCCCGAGGGAGAGACGCGGCGTCTTGAGAGAGGAAGGGTAGTGGTAAGGTTAAGATGGAAAGTGACTTTATTTATGTCATAATTCAGAAGCCATTTCTAATGCTTTGGGTAATCAACTAATTCCTCATTAAATATGCAACTGCAAGACAATTAGTATATGAGTAATAGTATGAAGATCTGATATTTGGCCATTCTTATTGAAATTGTAGGGTGATGTAATTGTTTATTAATAACGCATCAATCATGTATGTGTTAAAGTCCCCCTATAGTCAATCGTTTTATCCCTAAAAAATCCCCAAAATGACATATTTAAATGTTTTTTTCCGTGAAAAAATGTCTTCATGCCTTAAAATAGCTTGAATGTAACTCGACACCCTTGCCTCATTTATTATATGGGTTCTATGAATATGTAAATGAGCCCCGCTTCCACTCACTCACAGCAGCTCAGAGATCACACACGTTGATCTGATTGGTTACAAGGTTGTTTGTGACATCAGAAATACCAAAATACTCAGCAATGGTGTTGACATGAATTTGCACATGGTTTGTAAATTAAAAACACCACATAGACACATAAACAACATTAAAAGCTTGATTTACCCCTCAGGGGGACTTGAACACCTATACAATATTAATAATTCAGAAGTAAAATATGGACTGACATATTATACCCCACTATTATTCACACGGACATCTAACTGAAGACAGTATTCATTATCAAAACAGTCTAAATGTCTGAGGGAATCAATGGAAGACGATCAGCTGATGCACTGAAGAAACCTTTGGATTTCCATATCCCATTATTCCTCACTGGGGCCAAAACATCAATGCAATCTTGCAAAATTCACTTTTTTTTTTCAGCATTACTCATTGATGTCACCTTTACTATTTCCCAACACAAACACATCACAAGCTGCTGCAGAAAACAAAACAATTCCCGTCTGAGACAGCTGGAAATGAAGACTGATTGGCTCTTTGAAAGCCAGTAAGATTTTTGAAGATGATTGAGTAAGAAGATCCACATCTGAGGCTTGAATCTTCATGTCAGATCAGCGGATGCATCATGAAAACAATTTAAAGGCAATTTAAAGTTTTAGGACTCAAAATCACATGCAAGGTTAAACCCTTAAACACAAAACAGTTTAATGCATTTATCTGATCAGACCTAAAGCAACATGTCTGCATGTGACTCACGAATGAATTCCGGATAGTCACTAATAACTAAAAAGCTGTAATATCATCTAAAAGAAATCATAAAGATGATTGACTGTATAACTGTGACTATATGAACAGAACCACTACATGTTAAAATAAAGGATGATGAACAGCCTAGCTCTCCAGTTTACAACATATGAAATTATGATGTTAGTAATTAATTATCATATGTACCTCTGACTTCTCAGAGACAGTGTCTTTATTGGATAATGCACAATAATTACAATGTTAACATCAAAAACATTGAAAGCTGCTCAAAATATCTCGTTTAAAGTATTATTATGTCAGTGTTGTTATTTGATACCGTAATTTACACCTGTTTCATTAGCAACCCTTATGTTTGATATATAACATTTGGTACTACATGTCTTCCATATTCATTCATTTTAAAACCTCGGTTCTCCGAGGTTTTTGCTAGAATATAAAAATGTGAATTGTCACATTTAGGTGCAATTTTCTATCTGATCTCACAGTTAAAACTGTTTTAATTGGAGTAATCGAATGTATTCAAGTAGATTCAGTCATCATAGTATTTCTGACAGGAATAAAAAGTTACCTCAAAAACATGGTATGTCCAAAAAACATAGTATTATGTGAGTTAAAAAAAAAACAATACAAGTAAAATACTGAAAATAAACACGAACTTACTTTGACTCTCGAATTTCCTGATGATCGTGTCGAGGAAAGTGTTTTGCGGCGCGACGTGCCCTCGTCGTACCGGCATCCTCGCGCGCTCAGTCCAGCGAGTGTCACGAGCTCAAGCTGACCTTCCCGCCACGCTCTGCGTGCCCTGGGCACGCGCGGGTCCACACGGCGACGCGCGAGCTTCCCGCGCTCTGGGGAACTTCATCAGCACGAGCGAGCCCTCAGGAAGAACAACACGCTATATACTTATCCAAGAGACAACAGTTTCCAATTTCCGAAGATTGTTTACGTCGCGTAATCCCTTAAAAAAATGATGAAAGTATCGCTAGACTAATTTACTCCGTGACATGTTGGACGCTGAACTCTGTGTGACTGGAACGCGCTCGCGAGGTACCCTAATTTCACCATAGTCACGTCCTCGGATGTCCCTTTGTCCAATTAAAGTGCTCCTCTGGGTTTTCATACGTCAAAAACCAAATGTAAGAAGAAAGGAGATTTCTTCTTCTTTCTTAGAAGAAAAGAGATGCGATTCATTTGACGCGTGTCGCTCTCGCGCGCGCTCCTCCCGTTTCGATGGTGACCAACGACAACAACGAGCTCGTGATGCCAGCGTCTGTTTAACTACAATACAAACACAACTAAACTTAAATAATGACTTATTACTAGTATAGAACATATATTGCTGTGTGTTTCTGTTTAGTTCATTCCGGTGTCATTTGTCTCCTTTCGCAGGTGTCGAACCCTTGATGTCGTCATCTCCCGGGCTCTTGTGGAAAAGCAACAGAAATCACGGGCTTCAACTGAACGGTAAATTGGGATACTTCACGATTATCCCGACGAGGATCCCGAACGATCACCGAAGGCTCCATGCGAGATCCTATAACTCACCTGACAGTTGCGCGCGCGCGAGAGAGCTTTCAACGCGCTTTGTTTTCCACCTTCGGCGGCGTCGCGCTGTCAGACTGTACATGATACGTCATCGTCGGTGCACGCGTCGCGGGCGTGGGGTTTCCCTGCGCCGTCACGCGCGTGCAGACAAAAGACACTTCACTCCTCGTGGTCTAAAACACCAATAGTATGCATATAAGCGGAGGTTTTCAGTGCAATAACAACGATTTTGCAACTTCTTGCTTATTAGCCTAAAAAGCTAAATAAGAGGAGTGAAAACCCTTGTGAAATCAGGGCTTTTGTCCATATTTATCAAGACTGTCTTTGAAGCATCTCTGCCTCCTCCTCCCCATCAATCCCTTTCATGCACTAGCCGTGACACACTTTCACAAGGTGGGAACGGAATAAAATAAATGCATGTGTGCTGTGGTGCATCTTTGTCTTCAATAAACTGCCACACTAGTAAATAAGCCCACTATTACCAAAAAGGTTAGTTTAATTGTGCATTAAAGTCAGTAAAAATCACAAAAATGTTGCATTTTCTCAATCATTTTGAATTGCATAATCATGAAGAAAACAGTTTAAACTCATAATCATAAAATGAATGCAATAAGAAAAATTTTCAGTGGTTAAGACCATAAATTTAACAAAGGCTATAGATGCAATTATGCACATTTAGAAATAAATATATTTGATGTAATATATAAAATAATCAAACCACAGTGCATTTAAGGAAAAAAATCTGTCTACTTTAGTAAAATCGTCTGTTATTCTTAATTGCTTTTTTATAATACAATGATTTGCTACAAAACATTTATCAAAGAAATCAGTTGGAAATAATAATAATTAATTATTTATAATCAACATGAGCTAGATTCATTAACATACAAAATATTAAAGACTGAAAAAAGTAATAAATCCAAACATAATTTAAAGGCTGTACAAATTGTAGATCACGTAGAGCTTTAGGAAATATTAAATAGAGAAGATTCAGTCATATAATGACAAGCTACATAAAGAAGACCGGACGAAGCGTTTCTCTCCACTCATCAGCGTCTCGACGGGTCTCCGCCTGCGCAAAGAGGAAGAGGAGATGATTTTACAGCTTTTGGAAATATTTTATCATGCATTCTTGATTCATACCTTTCTGAAAGTTCACTGTAATGAGCAAGAAAATATCATTAAATATGCATTTGGTCTCAGACACGCTGCAAAAAGCAATGTTCTTCCTTCATTTCGGTATTATTGTCCAGTAAACATGATGCATTTATTTGAGATGCACAATATAAGATCATTAATAACTTCTAACTTTCCTTTAGTTTACTTTCTGATGGCAGATTTCTTGTTTTTATGCACAAACTCACTTGATTTTTATACACTTTCAGAAATGAATGTCATTTTGCATCTCAAGTAAATGGATGTTTAGATGTTTGTCCAAAATACTGAGGAAGAACGTGATTTTTTGCAATGCATCATCATATATTTAATCAATGCAACTGCAAAGAGTCGTTCAAACAAACAAGTATTCAACAAAAAACGTATTGCTAAATTCAGAATAATGATGTGCATTAAAGTGCTAAAATGGACATGACGCTTTCATATCTCTCTTTTTCACATCTCAACAAAGACAGGAAGCTTTTAGCGCTAATGCAACACAATAAAGACAAAAGGAAGTCAATTGATGCTCTATGTGTATTATTCTTGCGGTGCATTATGGGAAATGCTGTGGTCTTGTAAACGGTCTAAATAAGTGTTCTAGGAAGCATTATAGCAACAAATGCATTCAAACTCAATTGAACAACATTCGCAATGACAATTTAATTGATCAATATTCAGTTTGCGTGATTCTTTAATCGCCGCACCCTCGAACAAAATCCACATCTTCACGTTCGTTTGAGCTCGTCTCGTAGATCCACTCATTCTGACTTGCCGTGAAAGCATAAGTCATGCAGACAATCTCCTCGGCACAAATGAAACGGCTCCATGATGGCGTAGGATAAAAAACGCGACCCCTCGCTCTAAGTGAAGTCCCACAGATTCAATTAGCTAATGAGATCAATCGCATTGATGAATGACTAAACACTGACGAGGACGAGCCTAACGAGATCAGGCATGCTGGAGACGCAGCGGACATCAGGCTCGTTACAGCATGGCAACATGATGCTTCGGTTATGAATTGTGGAAATACCACATGCCCTTCAGAGCTGGCCGTTAAAAACTATGAATAATTTATGTATGTCAATATGAATGAAGTTCATGATAAATGTCCATGAAAATGTTCATGATAATTTTTTTTTTGTAACGCTTTAGTTTATACGGAAGCGTATTGCATTCACTTGAGGAAAAAAATCTACTCTGTTTTTCTGAATTAACGAGTTAATATCTCAGAATTATGAGATACATTTTTCTTGAAAAACATTTTTTTCACTCTGTTTTTATGAATTAATGAGTTACTCATAATTTTGAAATAATTAAGTCATTAATTCAGGAAAAACAGAGCAAAAACTTTTTTTCATGAAAATTATCTCGTAATTCTGAGATAATTAACTCGTTAATTCAGAAAAACAGAGCAAAAACTTTTTTCCATGAAAAATTATCTCGTAATTCTGAGATAATTAACTCGTTAACTCAGAAAAACGGAGCAAAAACTTTTTTTCATGAAAAATTATCTCGTAATTCTGAGATAATTAACTCGTTAATTCAGAAAAACAGCAAATACTTTTTTTCCATGAAAAATTATCTCGTAATTCTGAGATAATTAACTCGTTAATTCAGGAAAAACAGAGCAAAAACTTTTTTCCATGAAAATTATCTCGTAATTCTGAGATAATTAACTCGTTAATTCAGGAAAAACAGAGCAAAAACTTTTTTCCATGAAAATTATCTCGTAATTATGAGATAATTAACTCGTTAATTCAGGAAAAACAGAGCAAAAACTTTTTTCCATGAAAATTATCTCGTAATTATGAGATAATTAACTCGTTAATTCAGAAAAACAGAGCAAAAACTTTTTTCCATGAAAAATTATCTCGTAATTCTGAGATAATTAACTCGTTAACTCAGAAAAACAGAGTAGATTTTTTTCCTCAAGTGAATGCAATACGCTTCCGTAAGTTTACTATCTAATTCTCATGATTAACTAGTTGCTTATTAGGATGCATATAACTAGGTTATTGGCTGTGTTTATTAGTACTCATAAAGCACAAATTTAATGCATGACCATATTCTACATCCCTTAATTTTATCCAATACCTAAACTTAACTACCTTACTAAATACTAATAAGCAGTAATTAGGAGTTTTTGAAGATTAATTAAATGTTGTATGTTTTTCCCCACTGTAATAAACGATTTATTAAAGTCCCCCTGTGGAGAAAATCCAGCTTTTAATGTTGTTTATGTATCTATGTGGTGTTTTTAAGTTCATAAGTCGACAGCATTGCTGAGTATTTCCTCTTTAAAACTGCAGTGAACCAAAGACAGTCTCAAAAACACGGTTTGAAATCGCTGGTGTTTCTGACGTCACAAACGACCTTGTTACCAATCAGATCAACGTGTGATCGTCAACCAGTGGATCTCTGAGCTGAGGGAGTGAGTGGAGGCGGGGCTCATCTGCATATTCATAGAACCGCGCATACTAAATGAGGCGAGGGTGTCGAGTTGCATTCAAACTATTTTAAGACATGAAGAATTTTTATTCATGGAAAAAAACGCTTAAATATGTAATTTTGGTGAGTTTTAAGGGATAAAATGATTGACTACAGGGGGACTTTAACAGTGTAAATCACCATCATGGAAAACTAATAACATGGGAGTGACAGAGTTGTGTTTTAATGATCTCTTGGCACATTTGTCCTCTCCAAACCAAGCGCCGAGGATCGCCCCCCCGATGTCCCCGGGCTTCACCCACCCTGGCAGCTGGTGCACTCGCAGCTGTGGATGACGGGCAGAACGACGGGCTCCACGTCTCCGCTGGCGCACTGAAGGCTGAGGAACCGCACCGGGTTCTGCGGGTCGAGCCTGTAACTACAGCAGTCGCAGAACGCCTGCAGGTACGGCTCCTGAAACAGAGAGAGTGTGTGTTACGCGTCAGTTTGTGTCTGGACTTCATTCATTTGCTGCGTCTCAATTCGCCTACTTGTACTACGCCCTAAACATATTTACTCTTTTTGTGAAGAAAAAGTAGATACTTTTGAGTGTGTAGCAGAAGAGTAGACAAGCTTTGGGTCTTCTTCAAGAAAATGTGAATGGCCTTTCCCATGCAAAACCCAAAGCCACAATGACAGGGTATTCTGGGTGGTTGCTAGGGTGTTGCTAGGGTGTTTTTTCCTGTTTCTTGTGATCTTCTAACTCGGGTTCCTCCATCAATGTGGGATTTTTTCACCTTTTCCTGTATGACTGTTATCACGTCATACAATTGCGTCTTTAACGGTTGCTTTCTGCCACTGTAAACTGACCTGTCAATCATCTTGTCACAGACCTGTCAATCATATTGTCAAATATAAAATCCTCCACATATC